TGATCTCTACCAAGCGTAAGACTGTGAAAGATGGGAATTAAATGTGTTGTAGCTTATATTAACACTGAGGGGTATTCACAATAATAGGATATTTACAATGAAAGGCACTGGGGACAAATACTAATACTGTTAGGGACTTAAATGATTCATCTTGTTGGTAGCTAGCTTATTTGTAGCTCTGGAGGCGCCTCTTTGTAATGGGGGCAGCCAGGACACTGACCGCGTTCGGATGCCTTAGCAGCTTATCGATGTAGCGGCTGCTGAAGCAGTTGATCGGATCTTCGACCTTTGTTGGGCGGCTGGTTCGCGTTTGTTGGCGTCTTTTGTGATGTACGATGAAAAGCCGGTCGGACTTCTCTAATTCGATGGAGCTGGTTCAGACTTGGACGAAGTTGCATGGACATCAAATTCATTGTCAAATATCTATGTAAAATATGGTTAATATGGATAGATTTCAGTTTTCCAAGGATGGGAAAAGAGTTGCAAAGTTGGGGCAAAAAACCAGGACTAGACAAGGCCGCTGTATAACTGCCAGTCTTATACAGTCGAAACTCTCTTGGACGAGCGCTGGTCTGGCAAAAAAGGATTGGAAGCCTATATAGAAAACATTCCTTTAATTATAATTATTAAAATTGTCCGCAACAACTGAGGATTCTTTCATTAAGCAAACGAAAAAATCGTTCGCAAATCAACACATTCGTCAAGCTACACATTAAAAAACCCGAAAGAAGCACAAGCGATCCAAAAGAGAGAAGAGAGAATCAAAAAAAAAAAAAGAGAAGCAATAATAACTGGGAATGGGTGATCACCCGCTGACAGAAAATCACTTGGCAACGGCTGATCATTAACCGATAACACATGACATTAAAGGTTCAAACAAAGTGAAAGAGTTTAAACGCACACAAAATGTGATAAATGCCGACCACCCCATGGAACCACAACAACAACCGCAACGACAACAACGACAGCGACAACAGGAATGACAATGACCACATCAAGTCGAACAGGTGAGGCGAAAAACGAGCGGAAAATTAATAGTGTGAACGAAGATCGGCAAGAGAATACGAAGACGAGCGCAACAGAGACAGAGACAAAAGGAGTGAGAGACAGAGAGATAGGGAGCACGAGAGAGGGAGATGTTAAAGGGAGATGATAGCAGTAAGGCACACACACATGGAGAAAAAAAAGCAGCAGATATCAGCATCTCAGATAGGTATCAGCTTACATTGGAGCACCGTTGGTGTCCCCCCTCCACCCATTCCCCCACCACACACATGATGGTAGTGAGCAGCCGGAAATTTGTCAAAATGTCAACGGGTGAAACAGTTTGTGGAGTGGAGAGTTTGGGAGCACCAGACTCCATCAGACCCCAACAGACTTCAGTTTTTCAGCGCAGGCTCCGTCGGCTTCAGGCTCTGAATCAAGCCACGTAGCTTTTGTAAAACAAACCATTAGCAGCTAATAAACATTAGTCATGCGACCAAAAAACGAGTAAGCGCGCTCCAGTCGTGGTTAGCCGACTAACAGATGCCCTGAATTAGTTCCTAGGACAAAAAAGAGTATTTAGGTTTAATGAGGTAGGAATGGACCTTAAAAACCTTTAATTCAGGAAAGAATTTTGTTATGCTACGAAAATATGCATATAAAATATGTCATATTTCTGATAGGTTTTATTAATTGGAAATAAACTTATCTGTTATCGTTATCGATATTTAGCAATTACATCGATCTGGCATCTCTTGTAAGAATCTACATGCTGAATTTATAGCTGTGAAACTCTCTGATGGGCTTAATTAATTCGGATTGTGGATAACTTATAGGTTTTGTTACATGACTAAGGGCCGATATTTGTCGACTACAATTGCAAAATGCTTTACTTATCGATATTTTGCAATAATAACGATCTGGCATCTCTCGGATTGCACCGAGCAATATGCCCCTTTAGTCATTTTGCAGGGTATCAAAAGTAAGGGGCTGGAGAACCTTAACTCGGCCCGATGATTTAGTGAGTGTAATTAAAATTTAAAGTTTCTTTCGCTCGCATATGTAAATGATCTGTGCGGAATTCCACGAAATAAATGAACAAGTTTTCTTCGCTTCTCTTCTCGCTTCTCTCTTTTTTTTTTTATCTGTCCACTCTCTTGTAGTTTTCGTTTATAATTATAATTTATGCAGATCAGGCCGAACCGCTTGTTGACAGCAGCGACCCCATCAATCAGTCTAGGATCGCCTTAGATAGGTCTATTGGCGGCACGGGTAACGCGGATCTGCCACCGTTGTCCGCCCTTCCTTCCCCTCTCCTCATGCGATATGGATCGCTTTGTAAGTGAGCCTGGACAAATCGTGTACAAGATAAGCTTACATTAGATTAAAGTGCTGGTAGCTCCACTCTAATTGGCTGTGCAATTGGATACTCACTGTACCCTCTCGCAGCTGCTGCCCCCGTGCTGACTCAGCGCCTTGTAGCTGTAAATGTGTATCACTTCATTTATATACATATATACAGAAATATTTTTATATATATCGGTCGGTTCCTTGAATTTCCTGCTCGAGTCTGTGTCAACATTTTGTTGTACGTTCTTTGTACAGACGTCCTTTAGATTTATGCACCCTTTGATCCCTACAAATCACGTTGGGCGTTTTGTTTTGCACATTTTTATGGGCGCTACTGATGCTATGCACTCAGCTCCAACTGGATATACGGATGTATATATGGACTGCAGTCTGTTGAGCCAGTTGCTAAAGTTGTCTAGTTGCTGGAATCGCACGAGCTTAACAGTAGTCAGACAGGGCATTGCCAGAGACTAAAAGATATTGCTGAAAGAAGAAGAAATGGCAACGAATACAATATAATAAATAAAGCGAAAGAGGAACTATCGAATAAAAGAATTTGTAGATTAAAATCTATTTTCTACTATTTTAAAGGATTTCTATCGTATATATTTTCTAGTCCGTCCTTCAGTCTATCCGTCTGTCTGTTTTGATGCGAACTAGTCTCTCAGATCGTCTTGTACATTGTGCAGGCAGTATATATGTCGGAATTAGGCGGATCTTGGCCAATCTCGGCATTTGCTATTTAAACTATGCTGCTTTTTTAGAAGAATCGGTCGGAAACATGAGTTTTAGTATGGCAAAATATTCTGTTTATCAAGATATCCCCATCACGCCCACTATTTTCACATATCTGCAAAACCGTAAGACAAATGTCTGCAAAGATTTTAAATCTTCGATATGCCCAATATATTTTTACTTTCTTGTTAAGTAGAGCTTTGAAATTTGCCTTCAAGCCGATTGGATAAAAATAAAAATAGTTGTATAGCACAGTTTTCCGAGTACTCACGAAAGATTTCGTTGAAATAGGAGCAAATTGTATTAATCAATAATTTACAAACAATTTAAACTTTGCTCATGCAAAGTAAAATGAAGAGTCAAGTTCCGATCTTGGAGTCAGATTTGCCAAAAGTAATTATTATAATAAGGAATAACTTGTTAACCGATCGGACAAACAATTAGCATTGATTCATTGAAACTTGGTCTCCCAGCCATGATAGATATTCTGCAAACGTATAAGCAAAACTCTAAAAATGCACTCGTGTCTGATGGGCACTAAAAAAGAGAAATTTCCTAAATCTCTAACTCTGCATACAAAGGGTGAAAACTGCAAAATATTAAGCTTAACAGCTTTTAAATGATGTAAAGCTGATCAACAATCAGCTAGGAAATAACCCGGCGTTAGCCGTTTAAGTAACTGCAGATATCTCGTATCTTAAACCCCCAACTCACGCGTCGCTCTCTTGACATGTTTTTTCATTGTTATTGATAACAAAATCTAAAAAATAAAAATATTCAATTGATGCATTTGAAACGGCGACCTCTCGCATGCAAGGCCGACGCAAAGTGTTTCAGACAAACTTTAAACGCTTTTTTTTGCCCACTTGAAGGTAAAACTTTAGGGAAATTACGTCTTTTTCACTTTAGGAAAGGAAAAAGGAATTTGTAGTACAAATTTCCGATGTACCTTGATTAACAGTTAGTCAGACATTTATCTTATGTCTAAGTAGATGGAGATGATAATTCTCAGCGCAACTTTCTAAGTCTGATGTGCAAATTCCACAACTGTTCACTCACTACTCTAATTCTTCTTCCGGGCACAGTAGCTCCTTTGCGGGCCATTACATAGAACTGGACAACTGATTATGTCACAGCTTCTAGTTCCCAGCTCTCTTTGGCATGTAAGCCTCGCCTCTCCCCCACACGCGCGGCATAATGAGCTGAGCTACAGGCAGCCCCCCCCCAACCAAAGAAGGCACCAGGTGTATGCGCATAACCGTAAGATTCACACATGCCCAAAGACGAGGCTGCAGCAGGGACAAGCAACAACAATAACAACAACGTGAAGAAGAACAAGAGAAATACATTTTGAAAATTTAACGATGCGCACATTTTATTACCGCAATTAATTACAAAAACAACGCGCAGAAAGAAATCTCCAGTCAGGGAATCTGAGATCACACGAGCAGCAGCTACACAGAGAGTGAGAGAGGGAGAGAGAGAGAGAGAGAGCGAGAGAGCGACACAGAGAGAGAGAGGGCGAGGGAGAGCAGCCTAAAAGAGAGAATGAGCTTCGAGATCTGTGATAAACATTATGATAGATGTGACTAGTTAAATGCTACTACCAAATAGTTCTCGGGCAGCCAGTTCTGGGGCAGCGCGCATAATTGGAGGCGCAACGGGCAGCCAGGGCTGGTTAATTGGCTTCGCTGCAAGCGTTTGTCGGAGCGCGGCTCTAAACCCGTTTTCCGACCAATTAAATGCCAGGAGAGAGAGAACGACAGCTAGAGCGAGAGCGAGCAGCAGCTTCAATCTCGACCTGGCCAAAAGACGTTGTCGGCCGTTGTCAGCATTTGTAGCCGCACATTTCGTATTGCGACGCGTAGCGCGACAGTTGTCCACACGGCACACGGTACAGGTGTCTGTCTATGAACGTACCCTCAAACGCAATGGGCTTTAAGCATGCGATGCTGCAGCGCAGCTACGAGCTGGCCGCCTCACCTGGCCCTGGCCCCCAGCTGCCGGCGCCGCCACCGCTGCAGGTCACAGACTTTAGCATCAATCGCATATTGAGCAAGGATCAGGCTAATCGCGTCAAGAAATCAACGGCCAGTGCATGCAATATACTGGATCTCTCCAAGAGTCGTCAACAGGCGGCCACAGCGGCTCCCCCAGCTACTGCTGCTGCTGCTGCTCCAACTGTTCCAGTGCCAGCTCTCAATCTGGCGCCCGTTCAGCTCCAGCCGGCCGCTTATGTGGCCGGCGGCTATGCCATGCTGCCGCCAGATTTGCTGGCCATGGCCAGTGCAACCAAATTCTATGCGCAATTCTTTCCACATTTGCTGCCCGCCTATGCAGCGGCTGCAGCTGCCGCCGGCCTGACCACGCCGCCCACATCGCCATATCAGCAAACCCAACAGCAACAGCAACAACAACCATCACAACAGCAGCACAAGCGCTACTTTGCGCCCTATGTAATAAACAGGCAGAGTCCCAGATCGAGTGCATCCACGGCCTGTTCACGCGCCGATTGCCTGGAATGCCTCGACTATTACAAACAATTTGTTGGCGGCTACAAGCCGACGCCACCTTTGATATCGCCGGCAGCCTCTTCTGTGAGCAGCTCGAGCAGCTGCAGGCCAGCGGCACGTGATCTGCTGTTCAGCGCCGCCAGCAACAGCAGCGCCACCAACAACATCACCAGCAACACCACCAACATTTCATTAACCACGGTGACCAATCTGCATCTGAGCACAGCCACAACAACTGCCTCGACGACGTCCTTGACCATGTTGCCCAAGTTAAATGCCGCCGGTGGCGTCGGCGGGAGCAGTTGCGCCGCCGAGGAGATCAGCTACAAGTGTCGCATCTGCGACAAGGTCTTTGGATGCTCCGAAACGCTGCAGGTGAGTTGTGTGAGTGCGGAAAAAGTGGAGAAATGACAGTGTAAAAATCAGGCTGACTTCATTTAGGATGTTGAGTTGGAATTGGTATCGATCAGCCCCTTCTCATCTCTACCAAGGGAAATGCTGTGAGAAATGGGTATAGTTGCAATGTTTAATACAATGCATTTACAATGTTATATTTACAATGAAGGCATATAGCTCAACTCTGTAAGGGATATGAATGATTCGCCTCGCTGGTAGCTCGCTGGGATGTAGACTTTGGAGGTGCCTCTCTGTGATGGGCTATAGCTCTTAATCTTACTTCCAATAACACGATGCAACAGCATCTGACCACCTTTTTATTTTGATGTATTTGTATTCTTTAACATCGAATTGAATTTTTTTTGTAATTTCTAAGGAAACCGAAAACATGTTAATCCTAAGCTTTCAATACGCAAAAGTTTATCCCACGTGCTAAATAGGATTTTTATGAATTATTCGCTTCGAAGACTTTCTTTTAATTTACCTGAATTTTTACATTCAAAAAATTTCTGAAAACTGTGTTCACATTCTTTCTAATAATGACAAAGTTAATAATAAGCTATACGACTTATAATAGGTAAAGGATTTAGTTGTTGGTATATATTTTATCTTTCCATTGAAATCGGTTAAGCTCTAGCAAAGCTAAAGCCTAAGCCCAAAATTTGCAAAAAATGTATTTCAAAATTCTGAAAATTTTCCAATATTTTCTAAATTATTTAAAATGTATTCTAAAAATTGATTCTATTCTAAATTTTCAAATTTATTCTAAATTTGCAAATTTTGTTAATTTTTCAAACTGCAAATTAATGTGGAAAATTGAAAAACTGAATACGAAGAAATGTTCCTTATAACTGGAACTGATAATTCGAGCATATCTAAAAAAAAAATGCTATTAATATAAATAAATATTAAAAACGTTCGATAGGCAGCTCAAGGCATCTTCTTGAATTTTTTATATACATATATTAAACAAGTTTCAATGTGAACGCGTTTAAAAAATAATAACGCAACGTAGCAAATGGGGCGGAGTCTAAGGCAAAGGCGGAGCGAAGAGCTCAGCAACAGGTTTATCAAAGGAGGGGGAGGTGGGCAACTGAACTGTTTATGCAAATCTGTATAGATCGTTAAAATGGTGGCGCCCAAAACAGAAGCGAAGAGAGGGCAAGAAGTACGAGAAAAAATGAGAACTGGTTTTACGCATGGGTGCAGCTAAGACAAAGAGAGAGAAAAAGCGCGAGAGAGAGAGCAGCACACACACGCACGCATATCCATGCCCGTTAGAGAGAGCGCGCAATTGAGCGCAGTTGAACAAAATGGCCGCCAAGCCAATGAGCAGCATTATTATCATTGAGTAAATTGTCTTCTTCACACACAGCACATACTCACCCGCTCACCTTCTGGCTCTCTCGCACATTTTGCAGGCACACGAGAAGACACACAAATCACCGCGCTACGAATGCTCCGACTGTGGCAAAGGCTTCTCCCAGCTGCGTAACTATAAATATCATTTATCCGTGCATCGTGGCACCAAAGAGTTTGCGGCCGAGTGTCCGGAATGCGGCAAGACGTTCAACGACAAGGGCTACCTGAGCAGTCACATGAAAATCCATCGGAATCGCAAGGAATACGAATGCCCCTATTGCCCCAAATCCTTTAATCAGCGTGTCGCCTTCAATATGCATGTACGCATCCATACGGGCGTCAAGCCGCACAAGTGCGCCGAATGCGGCAAACGATTCTCCCGTAAAATGCTGCTCAAGCAGCACATGCGCACCCACAGCGGCGAGAAGCCGTATCAGTGCTCCGTCTGTGGCAAATCCTTTGCGGATCGCAGCAACATGACACTGCATCATCGCCTGCACTCGGGCATTAAGCCCTTCAGCTGTCCGCTGTGCCCGAAGGCTTTCACCAAGAAGCATCACCTGAAGACGCATCTCAATTATCACACGGGCTGCAAGCCCTATGTCTGTCCACATCCCAATTGCAATCAGGCCTTCACCCAGTCCAGCAATATGCGCACCCACGCCAAGAAATGCCAGTATAGACCGTTAGACGGCGCTCAGGCATTTCCGGTGCCGCCCAAGCAGCAGCAGCAGCAGCACACATTGGCCCTGGGCACAGCTCCCAGTTTTGTCATGCCCCCGCCAACATTTGCTGCCGCTGCATCCGCTGCATCCTCTGCATCCGCTGCATTTCCGCCGGCTCAGCAAACGCTGCTCAGCAATTTGAGAACTTTCTAAGCTGGCATCGATTCGTATGGAGGAAAACTGTGACTGATCGATTTCGAGCCATTGTGTATAAGGGTATGAAATACTTTTTAATTTATATATTAAAAACTAAAAATAATTCTTAAAAAAATAAGCCTAAATCTAACCAATTCGGGATATACAAAAAGTTGCAAAGTTCTGGAAAAATAAGAACTTGGTCTGCTCTAAACTTATCTAAGTTGTTTTTTGTTTTGTAGAATTCTCTCGGAATTTTCCTTCACATTTCATTTAAGCTTTCATCTTAAGAGTCAAAAAAAAAAAAAATCAATTATAAAATTCTATTCTATATATTTTTTTATTTTAGTTGTTCCTTAGCAAAGTTTTAAAGCATTTTCTGCAAATTTTTGGATATTTAAATTATTTGATATAATAATTAGAGCCTTAGTGAGACTCGGAAAACTCGTGACAATTTTATGCTTATTATTTTGATGTCCGAATTAATATTTAATATCTTGCTTGATCTTCGTTTTATCTCTGCTAATTGTCACGGCTCAAATCAGACACAAATATAGAAAGTTTAAAACCGGGCAGACTTTGTAAATATAATCATAGTATAAAGATTAACAAATAAGTCTTTATAGTCTATATAGTTGCCTTTTGCGTTGGCATGTGATTTAAGTTAAATGAAAATCGAATTTCATAAAAATAAAATAAATCAATTAATATGGAACAAGATACAATAATAATGGTCGAGCAACGGAGCGAACGCTATAAAGACTCTGACTATCAGGACTATCAGACTGCGGTCAGAGAACTCATCTTGTATCCGGATTACGGGCCATTCTATGGCATAATGGGCGTGGTCGCTGCCATTGTATTCTCCTCGATTGGTTCCGCATATGGCACAGCAGTTTCTGGCACGGGAATTGCCGCCACGGCAGTTATGCGTCCGGAGCTGATCATGAAATCGATAATTCCCGTTGTTATGGCGGGAATCATAGCCATCTATGGACTGGTCGTATCGGTGCTAATTTCTGGTACGCTGGATACCGCCGCAACTTATCCGGTGGCCAAGGGTTATGTGCATCTGGCGGCCGGCCTATCAGTGGGCATGTGCGGTTTGGCCTCCGGGTATGCGATTGGAATTGTTGGCGATGTCGGTGTGCGCAATACGGCGCAGCAACCACGTCTGTTTATTGGCATGATCTTGATGCTGATATTCGCTGAGGTGCTGGGACTATATGGCATGATTGTGGCCATATATCTATACACGAAGGATGTTTAGATTCTTGTGCTGCTCATCTCTTCTAATAAAATTACAAATTACACGTAAAATGTAAACAATTTCAAATATGGCGCCATAAAAATGATCAAATAAACGATTGTTAATATCGATTGGCGATAAATTGCTGCGCAGCGTTGCCATACTGTTATTTGCACGCCATTTAACATAATCTACGCCGGTTAACAGTCAAGAAAAACAAACTGCAAACGAGCACAACTGTTAACAGACCGCACTCGCCCAGTTAAGCAACTTTGCTCCACACTTAACAGCGAACAGTTCGTTACATTGTCTCAATACCTGTAAAAAGGTAACAGTGCACGTCAGCAACACACACGCACACACGCCACATATCTAGTTGTCACATTTGCACACACGCGCATACCAGTGTGTCTTTAGTTGTTGTTTTTTTTTTCCAATTTCGAGCGAAGCAATTTAACAAAATTCGTGTAAATGTTACAATTAATTGTGAAATTAAATATTTGAAACTATTGGTGCACATTGCTAAACATACACTTTGCGTTTGCTTGCAGGCGCAGCAACAAGGAACACACAAAAACTCGGATCCACTTTTCGCCAGCGTGGGCAAAGCGAAAAAAAGCACGCTGCCAAGCGTACGCCATGGCCGAGTATTGGCAGCAACAGCAGCAGCAGCAGCTGGTAACGAACGGTGCTGACGCAGCGCCTGCTGCGGAGGCCTCAGCCACAGCGAATGGGCACAACAACAACAATAACTATGTGAATTTCAATCAATTTATCACACAACACAACCTGGCCAGCTCCAGTCTGGGCTACAGCATTGGCGGTGGCGGCGGCGCCTTTGGCCTGACGCCCAGTGGCAGCGCCAGCAGCAATTTTAACGGCGGCGGCGGCGGCGACAATGTAAGTGCATGCTACAATTTTACAGTTATATTTATGTGAATGTTCGCCTCAAAAATTTACAGTTGTATGCGCCAACGTTTTATGCCTCTCAAAATGGCGATGGCGCCGCAAGTGGCAACAGTTATAATGCAGCCGCAGCAGGATCCGCTGCTTATCCCAATCTTTATACACCCTTTGGAAATAATCCGTTTGCTGCCGCTGGCGTTGGCTACGATTTCAGCGCTTCCAAGCTGCAGGCCACAGCGCCCGAATTTGTGCCCAATTTTGCCAAGCTCAGTCTGACGTCGCCGTCAGCGTTGGCGTCGGCGTCGGCGTCTAGCAAAAATCATAACAACAACAACAACACTGCCACACAGCCAAATGCAACAGCAGCAGGCAGCAATTCATCACAGCACTCGCAGCCGCAGCTGCTGCCACAAAGAGCCGACCAGAGGCAGCCGAAGCCGCATGGCAGCGGCAACAATAGTCGCCAGCAGCGACGGAACGACTATCGCGAGGATCGCAACGAGGAGCGCTATGAGCGCGGCAAGAAACCGCAGAAACAACAGCGCTACGACAATCATCGCAGCAATAAGCGACGCGACGATTGGAATCGCAATCGGGATCGCATCAATGGCTATCCACGCGCCACCGAGGAGCTGGACACAAGCAACAGCAATGACAGCGCACAGCCCTCGCCAGAGAAGCAGCCGTCGCAACAGCAGCTGCACCAGCAGCAACAAATCTCACCAAGACGCGCGCCCGATCATGAAAAGTTGTCGCAGCGGGAAAAGCTAATGCGCGACATTGAGCAGCGGCGTCTGGAGTGTCTGGTCTGTGTCGAGCTGATTAAGGCGCATCATGGCACCTGGTCGTGCCAGAATTGTTATCATGTGCTGCATCTGAAGTGCACCATCACCTGGGCCAGCAGCTCGAAATCCGCCGAGGGCTGGCGTTGCCCCGCCTGCCAGAATGTGCTGGAGGAGCTGCCGCGCGAATATCTGTGCTTCTGTGGCAAACTCAAGAATCCACCGTTGACGCGCACCGAATTAGCCCACAGCTGTGGCGAGCTGTGCTGCCGTGTTGAGGGCTGCAGCCATGCGTGCACGCTGCTCTGCCATCCCGGTCCGTGTCCGCCATGCCAGGCGAATGTCAGTCGCAGCTGCGGCTGCGGACGCACCTCCAAGCTGATGCAGTGCGCCATGAAGCAGCCGCTGCAGTGTGAGGCCATTTGCGACAAGCTGCTCAACTGCGGCGAGCATCGCTGCCAGCAGCCGTGCCATGCGGGCAAGTGTGAGGCGTGCGCGGAGCAAGTGCAGCAGCATTGCCATTGCGGCAAGCAGCAGCGCGAGGTGCAGTGCACCCGCGAAAGCCAGGATAAGCGCAGCTATTCGTGCAAGGAGTGCTGCAGCAAACCGCTGCCCTGCGGCAATCATAAATGCAAGGATTCCTGCCATGCCGGCGCCTGTCGTCCCTGCAAGCTGAGTCCCACACAAATCACCAGCTGCCCCTGCGGCAAGTTGCCGGTGCCCCCAACGCAGCGCACCAGTTGCCTGGATACGGTGCCCACCTGCGAGGGCGTCTGCGGCAAAACGCTGCGCTGCGGCAAACCTGCGCATCCGCATCAATGCGCCAGCAAATGCCACCTGGGCCAGTGCCCGCCGTGCCCCAAGCAAACGGCGGTCAAGTGCCGTTGCGGCCACATGGATCAGATGATCAAGTGCCGCCAATTGTCTACCCGTGCGGACGATGCGCGCTGCAAGCGTCGCTGCACCAAGAAGCGCAGCTGTGGCAAGCACAAGTGCAATGCCGAGTGCTGCATCGATATCGATCACGCCTGCCCGTTGCCCTGCAATCGCACGCTCAGCTGTGGCCGGCATAAATGCGATCAGCCCTGTCATCGTGGCAACTGTCCGCCTTGCTATCGCAGCAGCTTCGAGGAGCTGTACTGTGAGTGCGGCGCCGAGGTCATTTATCCGCCGGTGCCATGCGGCACCAAGAAGCCCATCTGCAAGCGACCCTGTTCGCGGACGCACGGCTGCGAGCATCCACCACAGCATAATTGCCATGCGGCGGCCAGCTGCCCGCCCTGCATGATGTTCACCACCAAGTGGTGTCATGGCAATCACGAACAGCGCAAGACCATACCCTGCTCCCAGGCTAGCTTTAGTTGTGGCCTAGCCTGCGGCAAGCCGCTCGCCTGCGGACGCCACAAATGCATACGGCCCTGTCATGAGGGCGAATGCCAGCAGCCTGGCGAGCTGTGCCGCCAGAGCTGCACCAAGCCGCGTCTATTGTGCGGCCACAAGTGCGCGGCCATATGCCATGAGGGTGTCTGTCCTGAGACGCCGTGCAAGGAGCTGGTCGAGGTGCAGTGCGAGTGCGGCAATCGCAAGCAGAGCCGCAGCTGCCAGGAGCTGGCACGGGAGCACAGTCGCATTGCCACCGCACAGCTGGCCTCCTCCATGGCGGAGATGTCGCGCGGCAACTACATGGAACTCAGCGAGATACTGGCGCCCAACAAGAACAATAAATCCAACAAAACGTGAGTAGCCAAACAACAAACCCACAGATCCAACTAATCTATATATATATCTAAATATAAGGTTGTTCCGACTAACTGTATGGTGGGCTGTCCGAACCTTAACCAGAAAGCAGACATTTTTACTTAAAGGGTTTTCAGTTTTAGCCCTGTTGTACGCAACTTTTTTGTATATCAACCGCTCAGCTTCAAACTCATATTTGTGAAAAATTCATGTGAGCCGTGTCACACTCGTCGAAAATTCCATCCCGTTCTAGCGGGAATCGCAGTCAAAGATTTGTTGGGTGACCTTTCGATTTCAAGCTCAAAGAATATCCTATGCCGTTAAAGCTTGGAATTATTTAAACAAAATCCCTCTGGCAGTAGTAGAAGGTTGATATATATATTCCACTTCTATGTTTGGAAGATGGGGGAAAACGGTTTAAAGAAACTTGTAATTTCCTTTTAAAGATCTTTGCGAAACGTAAATACACAGTGATCAGTGAAAACTAAGGAAGAAAACTAAGATCTTTAATAACTTAAGATCGCCCAGAAATTAAAGCTATAATTTGCCCTGCCCTGTGTTTAAATTCGTATTGTTAAAAACAGTTCTATGCCCATTGCTTTCCACTATTTTGATTGCAAAATAGTTGAAATAGGATCGAAAAGAAGCTGATATATTTAATTATTATATTTATTTTAGCTTGAACTGCAATGATGAGTGTCGTCTGTTGGAGCGTAATCGTCGCTTGGCTATTGGCTTGCAGTCGCGTAATCCGGAGACGCAGCTCAAGTCGCTGACAAAGTACTCGGAGTTCTTGCGCGGCTTTGCCAAACGCAATCCGGTGCTGACCAAGAGCGTCTATGAAACCCTCACCGATCTGGTCAAGCTGGCCAAGGAGAGCAAACAAAAGTCGAGAAGTCATTCGTTTCCCACAATGAATCGTGAGAAGCGTCAATTGGTGCATGAGCTATGCGAAGTTTTTGGCGTGGAGTCTGTTTCCTATGACAAGGAGCCCAATCGTAATGTGGTTGCCACAGCGCACAAGGAGCGGGTGAGTAAAGTGTACTTTAATCGTTTATACTCAATTCTAACCGACTATCATATACCCTATTTAGTGCTGGCTACCTGCCACTAGCATCATGGAGGTGCTGGCACGCGAATCCGGGCAACGTCGCGTGCCCGTGCCCAGCAACAATGCATGGAGCCTCAAAAAGTAGCAGGCAACATTTCATTCGTTTATCCTTGACAATACACGAACACATTTAGCAGAGTTTATAAAAAGAGAGAGAGGGGGAGGGAGATCTCTTTGTAAACCTCTTACAACTAGCCTGAACATAATTGAAAAATTTCTAAAACGTTAGTTAAAATATTGTTGCATGGACAATGTTAAAGCAAAAGAAAGGTTGCAGGATATACCAAATGAACATAAAGGAAAAAGTGTGGAAAACAATACTAAAAACAAAAAACGAGCAAAATTGGAAACTGTTAATCAACTTTCAACTGTTTTATGATGAATTTATATAAAGCTGAATCCTTTGACTACGTTGCATATATACAGAATAATAAACACAATAAGGAAGCGATGTAAAAAAGGAAATATTTTAAATGTGAGCTAAAGAAAACCTTGTGAATACAATGGAATTCGACTGCATTTTCTGTAAGTATCGCTTAAAGAGGTTATGTTATTAATACTAATAAAATTTGTGTTGTCGTAGTCTCACATTTTGAAAATACCGAATATTTAATTTAAAAAAACAACATACCAAAGCGTTCAGTGTTGCCAAAGATGATAATTTGGCAACGCGAATCGGAATTTGTGTGCTGTGCAGCACTGTTTTGTATGTTGAATATGTTTTTTTAGCTGGTGTTGTCAATGGAGAATAAATTCCAAAAGTTTTGATAACGTAATTTGCTAAATTAATTTTTGCAGTGTATGTATCAAAAACACAACCTATATATGTGTGAAAAATTACCAGACAGGGTAATTAAAGAATTGAATTAAATATGGACATAAAATACTCTGTGAAACTGTGCAACACTGTTCCATTGACTATGTTTAGTTGTGCCACCCACCAAACAAACAGTGCTGTGTTTGTATTCGCACGTGTTTTGTGTTTTTGTTGTATCACGCTCCAATATTCCAATATTACTTTCTAACACTGTTTTAGCTGAGTCAAACACCATTTGTCAATGACTGTGTGCTTTGTTTTGTTAGTGTCAAAACTGGTTGTGGTCAAAGCTAAATAAAATCCACTTAATTTTGGTATGAACATTTGCTAAGTTTAATAAATAAATTATAGAACTATAGATTAAATGCAGTAAATATATTAATTAAACCTTAAATAAATAAAAAAAAACATCAAAATAATATAAAATTTTTGCTTAATGTTTTATGTGACAAATAATCTTAAAATATGTTGAATTTATAATTTTGATTTTCTTATTTGAAACTTACATGAAACTCTTAAGCTTCGATTTCGCGATTACATTTTTTTTTATTCATTTTTAGATTAATTAATAATAAAATTATATTAATTATATTTTCTATATTCAAGTAATCTTATCAAATATTATTATGTTAGCTAACACTAGGTAATAGTAACAGGTTTGAAGGTTTTCTTTTTCGACAAAAAAGAGAATTTTTCAAAAAATTTATTATTATAAAAAAATTATTTTTACGTATAATTTTAAAGAGACATTTAACAATCTTTAAAAAAGGCTAACAAGGGAACAATTTAAAAGTTATATATATTTAGAAATAAGATTTAAAAATGCAAAGCGTCTTATACGAATTTAATTCTTAACAGCTTTAAATACCGACTGACTAATTTAAATGTATTTTGAATAAACTTCATAAAATGAATAATTACTTTTCTCTTGCAATATTTGCAGATAACTTCTTACTTTAGATCAATTTTAATTAAATCAGTTTTGGACAGAAATATGTCGCCAAGCAGCCTACCAAGCTGAAGGATTATTGTCACAGGTAAGTACATTTCGTATAGTTTTAGTTTAGTTCAGATATATTATAAACTCAATTGAAAGTTAAGTCCATTGAATAATTGGGATTGGCAATGCGTGGTGCATGCTGCACGGCACTCAAGAAATGCCTTAGAACTATGTCTTCTATCCAATTAGACCTGGCCAACTGGCCAACTGGCCAAGTGGCTGTTGGCTGTTGGCTGTTGCGTTCGTTTCGGGCGTTGGGCACGCTTCTAATTTGTTGCCATTGCCGTTGCCATTTTCACGAAAAACAATAAGCGGCGCCATGGGAATAATGCCAAAATAAAGATGAAATGTTACGACAAGTCAAGTCAAAAGGCGGAGTCGTTCAATGGAGCTTCAGTTGGAGCTTGTGCCAGCTTCTCGAAACGCACTCACGCATGTGGCAATTGGGAATGTGGGTGGGTGTGGGCTAGGTGGGTTGGGGCTGTGTCGTATATGAATATAGACCTGACATAATGAGCCGCCCATAAGCGAAATGACTGCCGCTGCCAGCTTCGCTGCCGACTTCGTTGCCTACGTCTATGTCTTAAGATGTGTGCGTAATTTGAATTTAGTCTGCCAGGGAGTTTATTAACAAATACAAAGGAGACGAAAAAAAGAAGAGGGGAGCACTAGAGATGGGTGGCCTGAAGGGGGCGTACGAGAAAGATCTCAGAGCTGGTTGGTCTGGGCATTGTGGATTTGAAGGGGGTAACAGGAGGTACATAATGCCACAGAGATTAAATTGTGGTTGCCTTGTCGCTTGGGGTGTTGCTTGATGGGGGGCGGGGGGCCCGTGCTGTTGAGGGTTACGCTGTTCGAGTGGGGACTTGGCTTGGCGCCGAAAGAGTTCATTTTGGGTCAGTTGTGATGAGCGCACCAGAGGTTAGCTCTGGCATGAGGTGCAATTTTAATTAGAAGATTGCGCCAAGCAATGAGAAAATACTTGATATGCTAACATGGCAACACCTAGGAGCTGATGGTCCATCTAAGGGCTGCTACAAGGGGCTGATTAAACGTTTCAATCTAAGCAAACGTCTGTTTATTTCGCAAAGACAACTATTTCCAAGAGTTTTCATCTCCAGTTTCCACTAACCAAAAAAAAAAAAAAAAAAAAAACAGAAATACGGCACAGGGAATTGGATGATTATTATTTTATTTTTATTTTAAGTGCATTGAATTTGACTATTAATTCAGTCTTGTCTTGAGTTCCATTGTTTCTCTCCGCTAGATGATTTGAATAAAATTGATAGCGTTCAGTTATAGGAGCTGTGTATAATGGCAGGTTTTAACGAAGTGGAAGGAATTGTGTAGGGATATTAGTAAAAAACAAACATTTTCTTATATAAACTATTCACATTCTAACCATATGTACATCGGGGCCTCAGATACGAGAGATTGCTTGGCATAAAAGCAGTCAACCGGTCAGGCAGAATCACGATTACAATTCAAGCATTTTTTGGGCAAAAATGTATATTTTTCTGTAATATCTATAGGTAATTTCCGAGCGAGTTTTTGTGTCACTGCGTCACATTCCAAATTAATTTATAATCCGTTTTTGTTGACGTTTGGAAGCCAAGCAGTCGCTTTTTTATATTTTTTTTATTTTTGGGAAAAATGTAGAAAACCTGACGACATTTGGATGCTCATTTAGCTTGACATTTAGCTGATGATACAGTTTGCGAGGGGGTTGAAGGATGGGGTTGGGGCGTATATACTATATAAGCACGAGTATGGCAATGTGTATTATATATTTATGTATGGACGAGAGTATATGACTGTTGAAATATTCATTAGGCCTGAGTGCAGCGACAAAAATTATGCCTGCGTGTCGCTGTGCGGCCAAAACTGGAATGTCCTGGTCGGAGCACGTGCGTCATACGCCAGGCTACCGCAGCAATGTCGGCACGAGGCGCATTCAATTTGCGCATTTGGCTTTTTAAAAAATGCATTAAAGGCGCGTGCAGTGAGCGGCAAGAAGGCAGCTAAAATAACGGGCTAACGTGAATAACGTGCCCCAAATGCAGCCACAGCGAGACAGACTAAAAGACTGGCTGCCAAACAGACAAACGGACAGACATACAGACAGACAGAGCAGGAGGGAAAAAAGTTGCGATGAAAGCGCGAAAATTACTTCCTAAATAGCCGCCTGACTGGCTGTCAAGACGCTGCAGAAACGGAGGAGCCAACGGGAGACAGCCAAGACCGGAGACCACAGACCAGAGACCAGACCCGAGCTCAATTCATGTTCCGGGGCCCAATAAAGGCGACACATACAGCAGACAAAATGGCTGAGTAGGGGCGGGCGCTTGAGGGGGATGGGAGTCGAATTCAAATTGCAAATTCGCCGCAGATTTTTTATGCACTTTTCCCAAGACCAAAATTAAGCCAAGCGAACGCTGCGCCGGAACGAACTCCAGACGGGAACAGGCAGGACAAACAGGACACAACCAGGACGATGACGACGACGACGACGACGTTTTGACGACAAAATAAAAATAGAAGAAGCAGCAGCAGCTACTGCAACAAGGATGACGGCACAACTGAATGCAAATATTATCGTATCTGTATGTGAGGAGGCAGAGGTAGAGAGAGGTGGAGACAGCGGCAGTCAGGGAGAGAGAGAGGGAGGGAGAGAGAGCATACACAACGCCAGGGCTCATCGTAAGACCTTTTCAGAAGCGAAAAAGGTGACAAACTGGCCGAAGCGAATCGTTCTCTGGGAAGGGGGAGGGGGGGATTGCGGGTCTTAGCCCTTTTGCACGCCCAAAGCTGTCTATATATATATGTATATGTACACCTGCCAACTTTTTGCCTGCTGGCCCCGTCGCCCAACTAAATGCATTTCGGTTTTATTCATATTTTATTCAAATGTGGCAACCAAAATGGCACAAACACTGCGCAGTTATTTATGTTTTTTTTTTCTTTGCATTTTTCTCACTCAACCAGGGCTGCAAAATGGGGCTTGAAACTTGATATTTGATATTGCGAAATTCAAACAAAGCTAAGACAATTCCTGAAATAGTTGGGCTTAAGCTCGAAACGTTTGCAGTAAATACGAAATAAAAACAATAAAGATGTCTTAACTTGTTCAAAAGTCAATTAATTAATTTTCTTTCATTTTCATCGTCTTTATTTGCTCAACTGAAAGAGGCTCACATGAACCAGTTCAGCTTTCATGCGCGAAACGGTTCAATTTGTGTGCTGAAATGCTTAAAAAGAATATTTTTTTGCATTTTTCTCAGAAAGAATCGAAGAGTCGCGGCCTCTCGGCTGTGAGTAAATTTAAATTTCTTTGAGATATAATAATTGATATTTTACTTCAATTAATTATAAAGAAATCAATTCACATTTTCGACCAAATACTTCACTTGGCTTTCTGAAGTTGTATTGACCACACATCATTAAATTAAAACTATTGCTACCAATATTCCAAGAATTCGAATTATTATTTAAGAAACTTTTTAGTCAAAAATACAAAAAAATTAAATTGATTTAGAACTTTTTAAACGGACCACTATTTACAAAAATAATAATATTAAAAGAATATAATTCCTATTTACCAACAACTCTTTATTGCTCATAATAATGTTAAAAAAATTGTATTTCCTTATTAACAAACTTTTTGGTTAAGTAAGTTAGATTTCAATTTGTAGTCAAAGGTTCATAAAAAATATTTAACATTTTAAAAGAACTATTATTAATAATATAAAAGGAAATATAATTCTTAAGAACAAAAACAACTTTTAGTAAATATAAAAAGAAATAAACTATTTGAATGGCACACATATTAACAGAATTAATCTCTTATAAAAAATAACTTTTTAGTCAAGTGATCAAAAATTTTCAACTATTTGAATTACCTACCAATTTATAAAACTACAAATAATAGTAAATAAAGAATTATAATTCTAATTCGAAGGATCAAAAATTAAACTATTTAAACTACCCACCACTAATAGTAATATTCAAAAAATTATAATTCTAAAAATTCTTTTTTGTCAAAGGTACAAAAGCAAAATGCTTGAGCCAGAACTACTTGAACCAGTTTCAATAACAGGTTCAGCTTGTTTGGCAGTTAAAGGTTTAAAAAGAGAATTTCGAGGCATAAAATATACATATATATATATTAAATTATTTTTATATGTATACTCCATAGTCTAAAGTAGAAGACCCTCAGGGGTTAACAGAAAAAAAAAACTATAAGAAATTTGAATCAGTTTAAGGAATTTCGATTGATTTAGTTTTGAAGAGCCGTGAACGACTCCCTGAATGCAACTCTGTATAGAGTTGCCAAGTTGCTGTAGTGGCCATCTTTCATTTTTATCATTTGAGTCAATGCAAAGAGGAGCCTTCCCAAAGGAGGACGAGGCAAATGCTTTGGTATTCTCACTGCTTCAATTTTGTGGAGCAAAAATAAAGCCACAGTCTGAGACATCAGTTTTGCCATGAATTGCATTTTTCGTAGCCCCGCTGCCTGCTCATTTTTTTGCTCCCCTCCTTCCCATAAACTTGTCATCATTTTAATATTGGCAGCTTATAAGCCACGTTAGACGCAGCAAGAATAGATCAGGCAAGGGAAGGGAAGGGCAGGGGAAGGGCAGGGGAACGGCAGGGTAAGGGCACGCGAACGGAAGGGCAGGAACGTCGACCCAAAGCCAATGTCAAGCCAAGTCAAGACAAGCCAACTCAGCAACGGATTATCTGCGACAGCCCCATGAAAGGCGTTGACGTGCAAGTGGAACGCCCGTTGTGTGGGTTGCGGGAGGGATGGCGGGATTGAGGACTATAGCTAGTTTGTGTGTAGCAAAAATTTACTGTAAAATACAATTTCCCGTTTTTATAGCTCATTTCCAACAACATTTGCTTAGCCAGCTCGTCGACGTCGCCGTCTATGGGAAAACAATTTTTATTGCATTTCGCTGGCAATGAGCAGAACGAGCGGTGAGTCGGTGAGAGGGGGCAATGGAGAGGTGAAGGGGTAAATGGGTGAATGGTGAA